TGAGTGCACTAGCTGAGAACTCAATTTCCTTTCTGGGTCCCAAGACAACAGGCCCCATTAGAGTGTGAGGACAGCTGTTCCTTACCAGGACCATGAGTACTACTATAGACGCAGACACCTGCTTCCGTGTCTCTCTCTACATGGGATGGAGGGACGCTTCCAGCTCATCCTGGATGACGTGTGTTGCTGGGACCCATCGTGAGCCCACAAGCATCATCATCATCATTTTATTTTATTATTATTTTGAGACAGGGTCTTGCTTTGTAGTTCAGGCTGACTTTGATTTCACTATGTAGTCCAGGTTGGCCTCGAACTTGTGGTGATCCTCCTGCCTCGGCCTCCAGAGTCCTGGGATTACAGGCATGCACCACCACGCCCAGCCATTAAGCATTTTTGAGAGCTCTCAGAGGCTCAGGGAGCACTTCCTCCACCCTATCTCTCATTCCACCCCATTAGCCCAGCTGTCCCCAGCTGCCACCTGAGTGGAGCCTGCGGGAAGAAGCCTGGGATTCCTAGGGCACACTTGGGGTGCTGTCTAGGACCCAGGACTGAAGGCTGACTCCTGCTGGACATCTTGGTGGGGACACCTGTCTGTTTCCACGCTGTGTAAGCCCTGAGGTTCTGGCGCTGAGTGGCAGGTCTGTTCTTGCTGTGGGCTGCAGTGGACACCAGGTCACCACTGCACCTCCTTGCCCAGCACCTCATCCCTTGTCCCCGAAAGGCTGCCTTCCTGGTCAATCTTTCCCACTGCACCAGCTCTGGGTGCCCACTCGTCCTGGCTGCTCTGTCCTGTTCCCTGACAGTTTTCCAGGGACGCTTTGCTCCTGGCCATTGGCAGGTCCTCCACTCCTGGAAGGTCAAATGTACCTCATACCAGAGGAAAGCTGTACCCCAGGATTGCAGCTGAGAAACCGCTGGCCTGGCTGGGCCGTGCGGCTCTATGGTGAGTGCTTGTCTACGGTGGGGAGGCCCTGATTCCGCCTAGCTCTGCAGAAAACAAAAACAAAAACAAAAGTTTTTCTGTAATTTCACTCCTATTGTGTCCTTTTAAAATAAATGTAGTAGAGTAGAGGTTTCAGAGAAGTAACTAGGGAAGATTTGTCCCTTATTCCTAAGGCCTGAAACTCAAGCCCCTTAAGGCTCAAACCAACAGGGCTCTCGACTGAGTCCCTTCCCCGCCCCACGGGTTCTGTGGGGGCCATGGGTGATAAGCAGTGAGTGCAGCGAGGGTCCCCTGGCCCTGATCTCTGACAACTGCCTGCCTCTGCTCCCTGCAGGAGGACAGTGTGGCCTGAGATGCTCCTGGTTGACACAGGGTCGCCCCTCTGAGCTGGGAAGGGGAGCCCAGTGCCCCCGAGGCAAAGCTGAACCCTCAGAAGCTCAGACATGCCATCCCCCAGTGCAGAGTGGGCCCCTGCCTCCCCACCAACCTGCTCTACCCTCCTCCGGCTTCGGGGTCTCTGCAGTGTCCTGAAGCACAGCCTTGCTTCCCTTCCTCCAGATGACCTTTGCTAGAGCTGTGGAAGACAGCATCCTTCCCTGAAGTGAGGGCAGTCTGCCTACACTGGGGAAACACGGGGCCAACGGGCAGCCAGACTGACTGCCTCCTTCAGACAGTCAGTCCCCAGCTCAGATCCCACCGATCAGCAGCCACGGGGCATGCAGGAGACTCTGGCCTTCACAGCGGACCCAGGGAACTGGGTGGAGGGTGGGGCTCTGGCTCAGCTCGTCAGCCTATCGGCAGCTCGGCTTCAGTCCCCAGAGCTGGTCCTAGGGACTGCTGTCAGGAGCCCCTGTCCTCAATAAACACGTGGCATCAGAAATGCAAGATTTCATTTCCACTTTGACAGCAGACTCTCCAGTTTGTTCCAGGTCGTGGAACATTTCAGATGTCCCTGCTACCCAGGAGACGCTGCATGTACAGCTCTGCAACAGCTCTACACACTTCTAACGTGACGTCTTAGTGCCACCTCCTGGCTGACTAGAGATTTGAGATGCTCTGCATCCCTCGCAAGGCCATCAGAACAGTCCAAGAAGCGGGCTGAATCTCACACACGACAGGGAGCAAAAGAAGGTGTGTGGACAGAGAAGTATGTGCACCCATGTTTATAGCGGCACAGTTTGTAATAGCTAAATCTTGGAAACAACCTATTTGCCCATCCGTTGGAAACTGGATAAAGAAGTTGTGGTTTTTCTATAAAATGGAATATTACTCAGCCATAAAGAGCGAGAGAATAGATGCATTCATAGGAAAATGGATACATATTGAAGATATACTCCTAAGTGAAATAAATAAGTCCCACATGTGTAAATACCAAATAGTTTCCCTGGTGTGAATATTCTGCAACAATGCATAAGATTCTAATAAGATTACTGACATTTAGAAATGGGAGGAAAGGAGCTAAAGGTGTAGGGAAGGTGTGATACGTAGGGGAAGAACAAAAAGGGAAAAGAAAAAAATGTGAGAGAATGAAAAGATGAAAATAAAGTGTTTGTAGATGGGGAGGGGAGGAGGGGGTGAAGGGAGGGCAGAGGTAAGGGGAAAAAAATGAGAATCAAGACTTGCCATGTAAAGGTACATGATCCCAACAATGAATGTAACTGTACTGTATCCCTAAATGTACCAATAAACTCAATAAAAAAAAAAGAAGGTGTGTGGAAAAAGCATAACGCAATTCCACTTGCTGAAATTACAAAACCAAGCCAAACTAGTGTAAGCAGTAGGAGTTTTCCAGAGAAACAGAGATATAAAAGGTTAAAAAAACGGTGGATGTTTAAATTAAAAAAAATTATTATAGTAAAAGTCACACTGGATGAATCTCCTTAAAAACACTCACCCCTCACAAAAACAAAATTTCCTCACTTCAAAATACTGTACGTTCTTGCCACTTTCTAAAGCAGGTCTGAAAATGCTCTTTCGAGTGTCTTTAACTGTACTATTGTGGCTGCCTCAAGGCTCCATTTGATTTAAAATGCTTTTTTTCATGGTCATCTTGGCTTTGGAGAGAAGCCAGAAGTCACACAGTGCCAGATCCAGTGAATAAAGTGGATGAGAACACATTATCCTGTTTTTATTTGACATGTGCGACACAGAGCATTGTCATGATGGAAGATGAAACTGTCCATTTTCTCAGGTTTTTTAGGCATATTGTTCTTGAAAGCTCTCATAAACTCTTGTGATAGTCAGAGTTTACTGGTCTGCTCCTGGGTGCGAACTTACTAGAACCCACTCAAGATAAAAAACTCAACACCTTGATGTTGGATCTTTTTTTTTTTTTTGGTACTGGGAATCAAACTCAGGGCCTCATGCTTGCCAAGCAGGCACTCTGCTGCTAAGCACATTCCCTGCCCTCAATGTTGAATCTTGATTCATGTGCTTTTATTGCACAAGGACAACTGGGTATTTCCAGTGAGAAGTCTGCACCTTGGTCTCAGGATCACAACCACAGACCCACGTTTCATCTCCCATGATGACTTCTCTCAACGCTAGAATCTGAAGCAGCAGGATTCAGCGTTTGTGGTCCTGTGTGAATTAGGTTATTGCTTTTTTCCATGGGCCTTAACCACGGGGCACAGCAACACTGCAGTCTCCCCACTGCCCTGCAGGGTGGCAGCCTGTTTCCTAGTAGCCAGGATCAATGCCCCAGCCACCCTAGCAACTCCCTTCTTTGCGTGTGGCTCTGAGGCACCAGAAGCCCAAAAAGCCTCGGTGGCATCTCAGCTTCCAGCCATTCAGAACTGCTGTGTCTCCTGGTAGACACTCATCTCCCACTGAAGCTAAGAAGGTCAGGACAGGAAGCACGGCGGAGGTTGTGACAGGTCCACTCCCAGGTTCACCCTTCGGTTCCTGGCTATCGGAGAAGTGGGCCCCATGCACCTGTGCTGACCACGCCCTCTGGAGAAGTGGCCCTTTCCCTGCAGGCCTGGCCCCCTGTGCGCTGTGCCAGGTCTTCCAAATGCTATTCCCACCCCTACCCAGCCAGAGTGGTGGAGAGCACAGGGTGAGCAGGAGACCCTGCCAGCGTGGGCCACAGCTATGCCTCACTGCCTGGGCAGTGAGCTCCCTGCCTGGGGGACCAGCATTCTGCAGGTTTGGATTGTTTCGCAGGAGCAGTGCCAGGCACAGGCAAGTCCATATCCAGGGACAGTGTCAGGTCTGGGAAGGACAGAATACCGACCCTGCTCCAGCAGCTGGCCGGGTGCCAGGGAGTGGTGCTGCATCAGGAACTCGGTGCTAACATCCGCTACAGGTGGACAAGACACGCAGTGGTGGCTGGAGCAGGTCAGTCTTGATCGGTAGAACTCCGCGCTGCTGCTCCCAGGCATCTTTCGTGCTTGCCACCATGTGTGAGCTCAGGACAGCAACAGGGATAGCTGGGAAAGCGCCCGGCCAGCGTTCACAGCGTGGGGGTCATTCTAGGTGCTCTGCTATTCATGCCCCTCCTGAATTTGCCCCTGGTGCTGTGGCTTGTGTTTAGATGTCCCCCCAAGCCTCAAGCTTTCTCAGAAGGGCTGAATCTAGCGTGTGTGATTGACTCATGGTGCAGTGCTAGGCCTGAGGGCACTAGGATTAAGGGCATGAGTGCTACTTGCTGAGCAGTCTGCATAAGATAAAGGGCAGAAAGATGCTGCTAAGCTTCTTTGCTGCTTTTCTGTTTTCTTCTGCCATGAACTGTTGCTCCTCTGCCACCCTGCCTTGGAGACAGTCAGTTATGGACTGAAACCTCTACAAACTGTACACCACATAAATCTTTCCCTTGTAACTTTGGGTGTCAAGTGTTTTGTCTCAGCAATGAGAGAAAAGTAACACACTTGGGGAGCATTCATACCAGACATAAATGTCTTTTGGGGTTTTTGCCCACTCAGAGTTTATCTACATTTCCTTCTCACCAGTTTTCCAGTCATGTTTCTTCCAAGTACCTGACGGGCGACAGCCCATGACTGGGTATATGATTGCATCTCTTGCTTTTTTTTAATAAGGAATTATATTTACTCTTGTGATTAATGTATTCCTTTGCACCTCTTGCTTTATTTCTTGTTTCAGGCAAAGGCATATGGCTTAAAGCTGTGTATGCTCTGCTGGAAGAAGTCCCTTTCAGAGCCTCCCCGCAGGCTCATCCCAGGAAGAGCCGAAGGGCTGTGCTCCCCATGCTCGGGGCTGCTCCCACACTGTGCAGAACGTGCAAGCTGGCTCCAATGGAGTGGGAGTGCGGCGGGCCTTCAGGTCCCTGAAGCTGACACTCATCTCTGCAGTCCCTCCAGGATGTCCCCCAACGGACAGTGAATAAACTGAGGTCTGTCCAGACAAGGGAATGTTACTCAGCACTGTAGGAAATGAGTTACCAAGTACTGAAAAGACAGGGATGAACCTAGAACGCACAGGACTAAGTGAAAGAGCTAGGTGAAAATGCCAGGAACGCAATGATGTCACCTCTGTGACATTCTGGAGACAGTGGAAGCAATGTTGTGCCAGGGGTTGCGGGAAGAGGACTTAATAGGAGTCAGGGGATTTGTTAGGGCAGTGAAACTAGGTAGGATATGAGAAATAAAGGTAGGTAGAAAGGAGACTAGGTAAGTCAATGTTTTAGGCTCATTTTCCTACCTTTAAATGTTGGGATAGATTCCTGCTCAGCCCTGCCCACGGGCATTCCTCAAGAAGTCTGCAGTGCAGGATTCAGCAGCCCAACATTTACCTTGTCTGCCTCTTCCTCCTGCAAGACCAAGGGCACTGAGGCTGGATAAATCCTGAGGGGAACTCTCAGTCACCAGCCTTCACAATGGCCAGTTCCAGACCTCCAGGAGCGATGCCTAGAAGTCTTCAAAAGTAGAATCACCCCGGATCCCATTTAGAGCAGGGCCCTGTAGACCACCCCACGATGGGGTCCTCTTCCTTAAGCAGGAAGTTACCCCGTGATAGGAACTGAGGCAGCCCCCTTCTGAATAAGGACACGCGTCTCACGAAACAAGGTGCCTGAGGAGGAAGACATCTGAGAAGGAAGTTGGCTGAGGAGCAGGATGGCCAAGAAAGAGGGTGGCGGCCTATAAGGAGGGCAGGACGGCCGAAGAGATGCCTCTTCTCTGCTGTCCTTCTTCCCCACCAGCCTCCTCCTCTTCCTCGGGGGGCCTCCTCTGCCACCCTCCCCTCTGCTGCACTCCTCCGCCTCGCTCCTCTAGGTCCATCCCTCCTCTTCCTGCTCTACCACGGTCCTCCTTAACTGCCCTTCTCCTCAGACACCCGTTTTAAAGAACCGAGTTTATCACATCCCTGAGAGGATGGGCTGACGTTGGGAGAAAGACATAGCGGCAGCTGAGTCACCCCGCAGTGGATGGGCTGACACCGGGCATGGACGACGATATCAGCAAGTAGCCGGGAAAGGTAGGCTTATATAGGTATTGAAGGGGCCAAAGAAGTGGGGTGAAATATTTATGACTTGGGTGCCCAAGGAGGGCCTGCTCAGGTGTGTAGACAATCACTGGACTTCCCTGCGCCACGGGGAGTATACTTTGTTTTGTGTTTACTTGCTCTATTTTCTGAGAAGCTGCTGTTGTCCGCTGAAAGCCCGTTTGCTTTGTTCTGCTGGTTTAGGCCAGGCCTGAACACTCCTGACTCCTTTGTCCTCCTTCCCTCTCTCCAGCGTCCTCCTCGGGAGTCCTGCACCTCCGCAGCCCCCTCAGTGTCCTCCAACTGACTTCTCCTCCTGGGTGGGCCTCCTCTCTCACCGGGTCTCTCTTCCTTCCCGACTCTCCTCGGGTCGAGGCCCACAAGCGAGTCAGATCTACCCGTAGATGGCGCCCTTAACTTTGCCACCCACGCAAGCTCGCCTTTCTTGACTATCTCGCCGAGGGTTTTGCAAGAGGGAAGTGCGCACGCGCACAGAAGGACGGCGGCGGGCGGGGTGGGATGCGACGTGACGAGCGAGGGGCGGGGCCTGCGCG